TCCTCGAGAGCCTGACGAAGCTGATCTTCGGTATATTGAGGCATTATATATAGAAGAAGACATGTGCAAAAGATGAGCCCATTTGGACGCGAATTGAAAATGTTGTGATAAAAGGAGGTTGGGGGTGGGCATTGGGTTGTGGTGGATTTTCGCGTTTTTGTGGGTGCCAGAAACAGGGGGGTGCCAGGAAGTGGGTATGTTGACTTACTACGTCGTTCCCTGTCAAGTGGAGCCAGGACTCCCCGTTGATCTGAGCTAATCACCCCTTTCACTGGCAATAGAGTCGTCCGATCAGACGCACGAGACGAACCAACACATGGCCGAGGAGGTTCCCCCAACTTGGGGAACCCACTGGGGAAGCAAGCCGTTCACGGCGCTAGGGACGAATTCCTGGAGGTGAGTGGAGGAATGGAGAAAGCCACGCTGCGACGGAGCGACCCAGCGTACCAGCAGAGAGTCCAGAACGAAAATCTTTTGCGGGTGAGGAACCCGGTGACCGCCCGCTTGGGATTTTGGCGTCCAACTAGGGTGGCCCCCGGGGCCCGGAACTCGGGCGGATGCGAGAAAGACAAAATCAACGCGGAACTCGGGCGGAAGACATGTCATCTCTTCTTCCCCCGACTTCCCACCCCGTCCCCCGACCTTATGCATCTTCACTCTTTTGATCAGAAAATACTGCGGGTAAGACTCGAACATGGAGACGCCTAATCCATATCGCGCTTCGGGTCGGCCCCGAAAAGGGTTGCAGATATGTTTCCAGTGCCGGAACCGCAAGGTAAGTCGCGGTCAACTTGCACCCGGAGTCTCCCTGCCGCGGTCCTTCGGGAAGAGGGTCCCCTAACCCGTAGCCGATAGGTCCGATGTGACGGCGCACCTGGAGGTTGCGAAAATTGTCGTCGGCTCAAGTTTCATTGCTCCTTTGCAGCACCTGATCAGTTGCCGGATGCTGCAAATTCTTCCACTCCTAGCAGCAGTGACCCAAGCCATCTGAGGCTGGAGAAGCGTCGCGTGCGTACTGCTTGCATACAATGTCGTGACAAGAAGACAAAGTGCTGTGGCACGCAGCCCTCATGTCGGCGATGCTCTCATCGAGGTGTGGACTGCCAGTACCCAGATGTGTCTAAGTCTTCATCAACCAGAAACCCAAATTCGGATCTCCGACACCAACCACCTGCTACAGTGCGTGGTGGTTCGGAAAACAGCATGGAAAATGGAACTTCATCTATGAATCGAGATTCCTCCGTTGCGCATTCCCCAGCCTCGTCACTTGGGTTGTAAGTTAAGTCCCTTGCAAGTCTACTTGGCAATTCCCTGTGTGCTGAAGTTTACTGAAATATGTTCTGTTATGTAGTGAGTTGAACTCGAACAAGACAATCATCAAGCAACACATCGATGCTTTCTTCGACTTTGTCTATCCAATACCCTGCTATGGCTTCATCCACAAGGCAACCTTCTGTCAAAGCTGGGCACAGGACACATACAACCCGCGCCTTCTGAAGGCAATGTGTGGTCTGACAACGCGCTATATTGCATCAGGGGACGGTAACCGTCTGCAACAAGCGACTAGATGGATCCAAGAGTCGGAGATGCAGCTCTTTATGCGGCTCAGTGAGCCTTCCATGTCGGATATCGAGGCACTTATGCTCACTACACTGGACCACATCATCGCTCGTCGATTTAGTAAAATGCTAGTATCTGCTTGCCTCGCAGCAAGACTAGCATTCATGATGCGACTCAACTATGAAGATGGCCGCCTAAGCTTCCTTACTCAAGAGCGTCGCCGGCGTCTCATGTGGGGGATCTACACCATGGAGACGCTTTACTCCAGCGGAAGAACAGAATTCACCGGGTGTCCGAAGGAAACAATACACCTCCAACTTCCCTGCCACGAGCGATCTTTTACTCTGGATATTCCTGTAATGACAGAACCTCTGAAGCCCCCGGAAAATCAATGTTCTCTGGAGCTAGGTCTGATGGCGTACAATATCCGAGTCCTCGACATTCGAGATCGAATACAAAGGTACAGTATCAAGATTTTATTGCTGCCTTGACGGTCTGTCGGCCCCAAGCTAACCAGTCTATCTAGGTTATCGCACACAATCACACATCATCGGAAGCCCTTAGTTGAATGTGTTTCGCTCCTCAAAGGACTTGTGGACGAACTCGATGCGCTGCGCCGTTCGCTACCGCCGCAATTTGCATTCGACAAAAAGAACCTCTTTCTCCGAGCCTACACCCCACAACGCACCCCTTTCGTCATGTTCCATACATGGTGGCATCAGTGCCAATGCGATATGTACAGGTTTACGATACCGGGCTTTCGGGAAGGTCTCCCCGTGGAAGAGTTGCAAACTCTGCCTCAGGACTTGGTCTCTTTCTGCAGAGACAAGTGTCTTCAGCATGCGCTTGCTGTTGCGAATATCATGGCAACAGTGAATGAAATGGGGAGAGACATTTTTATCACAGATCCGGCCTTGGTGATGTGTACTTTCCACTCTGCCCGTGTCATATCACGGCTTGGATCAAGCCAGTTCGCCAACTTGCCCAAGGATGTCTTGATATCCAAACTGAAGGCGTGCTCAGATATTCTGGAGACGCCAGCTGAGATATACCCCACCACCAAGCTTTTACGAGGTGGAATTGCAGATCTCATACACGATGTGGAGCGTGACTCTGGGGACTCCAGCCCGCTCAGATCTAATTGGGAGGCCGAACAGCCAGGATCCGACAACGAGGCGACCGGGGCTCAACAACCTGGTGTGGAGAGAGGTACGCAAGGGTCGGTGACGGAGGTCTATTCAAAATACAGCGTCACAGATGAGATTCGGAAACTGAAATTCCAACAAGACGGTGAAGAGGACAGGGATGAGTACCAGTCAAATGCGCCGGCAATAGGGGTGGGCGCAGATGGTGCCACACCTCAGCAGTTCCTGATGACCGATATGTCAAAGGAGCATGGCCCGCAGCCATACATGCCGATGCCTCAAGATTTGACAGCCAATGGCTTTGGCTTTTCAGAAGCTGGCTTCGGTACAAGTGCGGCACCGTACGATGTATCAATGACTCTGGGTTTTGAGCCGAGTTACGGGGAATGTCAGCCAGACTTATTTCTAGATACCTTCATGCCACTCCAAAACGACTGGAATATGGCTGATTCTGGTTGCTTTTGATCGTTGGTAGCACCGATCTCGAGATCTGGAATCCCAAATTCACAACGCTCTTGGCACTATTGTCATCTTGCAACGGTTTTCAGTGACTTTGTAGCAGGATTCATGGAGCTATCGATGAGATCCTCAAGCCCTAAGCTTCGAGGCATTACGCAAGGTCTTTGTCTGAAGTCTCTATATGGAACAAATACTTAGTGCGTAGGTATATGTACATGTAACATCTGGTCAAGCCCGACCACGCATATGGGGGCCTTTACTCAAAGGCCAGTCCAGAACACGTCCTTCTCAAGCTCAAAGGAGCCATCTAAGATCGCGCCTCCTGCAACGATTGAAGCAGTATATCGGCCTCTTTCACAACACCAACTGTTCCTCTTCTCATCCCAGACAGCGGTGCTATATCTATCGATGGGAATTGAGACTCTTCTTCTCTCCCCTGGCTGCAAGAAGACTTTCCCGAATCCCATAAGCGAACGAACGGGACGCGAAAATCTTGACTTGGGAGATGTAGTCGAGTAGTTGATGTACAGGCGGACAACTTCTGCGCCTGCCATCCGCCCGGTATTTTCTATGCTGATGTGAACTTTGGAGGACGATACCTGCATCTCCGAGATTTGGAAGGTAGTGTAACTCAGACCATGGCTGGGAGAACGTCAGCTTGCAGGCTTCTGCAAAAGTACAAGCAAGTCAACTTACCCAAATGGGAATGCAACCTCCATCTTTCTCGCTTCGTACCAGCGGTACCCAACAAAGATGTCTTCAGAGTAGTAGACCTTGCCATTGTCGCTGCCGAATGCAAGGTACGCAGGATTGTCTTCTAGCCGAGCAGGGAAGGTCATAGGCAATTTGCCGCTGGGGTTGATGCGTCCAAATATAACGTCCGCTACGGCGTTGCCCGCCTCATTGCCGCCGTACCAGCTGTGGACCATCGTCCTGGCGCTATGCCTCCAAGGTAGGCTGATTGGATTTCCGGCTTGAGTAATCACAATAGTGTTCGGTTGCGCATCTAGAACCGCTGCGATAAGGTTATCTACTTGTGGCGGCATGTTCATCGTGTCTCTATCTTTGCCCTCCTTTTCCAAGTCCGCCTAGAGTAACTATCGTCAGCTTTCTGGGATGCAACAGTCGTTGAGAGTTTCTTACGTTTAGTCCGGCAACCACAAAAGTGTACTTGCATTTCTTTGCTAGCTCGACGGCTCTCTGGATGCCCTCTTCAGGATCAATTTTACGGCAACCACCTAACCGGCACGCGCCACCTGGGATCGCTAACAGTGATCCACCCTTCACCTTTGATGTTGCAGCACTGCCGGCCTCAACGCGAAGGTGGTACCGCTTCCCAGCTGTCATCTCATACGTTGCTCGCCTTTCGGCTGAGCCCTTGCCGAAGAACATGCCTCCCGGTGTCTGTTCTGTCGAGTTGTCAATGACGAGCTCATCATTGATGAATAGGTCACCAATGCCGTAAGTCGCCAAACCGAATTCGTACGTGCCGGTGTGTTCTGGAACGAAATTCGCACGCATAGACATGAAGAAAGTTTCTCCCTTCTTGGGATGCTCGTAGTCCATCAGTTGATAGGTGGTGTCCGGTATCGTAACACGATCAAACGGCATTCGCTGTTTGATGATATGCGGCTCGTTGAATAATTCGATCGTCACACCTCGCTGACCTTCATCATTGCACACGTTGTCTTCTGTGAAAGGCGGTAACAAGATATATCCATACACACCCGGCTCATGGTGTACTTCAGCTGTAGGAGGTAGTGAGTCCCGTATGCCCTTGAGTACGGAACTGGTGTAGTATGGTCGAAGACTCGCGCTGCCTCCTCCACAAGCAGCTGCGAGCTCAGCATTTGGCCCGATGATGGCCACTTCACTGCAGTCTTCGGTTGAAATTGGCAATAGATTGGCAGAATTCTTCAACAGCACGATACTCTCGCCTGCCAAACGGCGATTCAGCGCCCTGTCTTCAAGAACATCCCGCATATTCTCTTCCTTCTCGACGCGAGCTGAAGCCGCGTCATTGACAAACTGTAAAACTTTTCGCGCTCGCTCGTCTATGGTGTGTTGGTGTACTTTGCCGGAGAAGACTGCGGCAAGGGCTTCTTTCTCTCTGTACCGACTAGGGCCGGGCATCTCAATGTCAACGCCAGCGTTGAGCGCTCCCTCACAAGAGTAGGTGCCGTACCTGCACGTGTTAGCCGATACACTGTTGAACGAGTAGAGCATGAGACCTACCAGTCACTCATAATGAGACCATCAAACCCCCACTCTTTTCGCAGGATATCTTGAAGAATCATGGGGTTCTCAGAAACATGTAGGCCGCCGATTTTGTTGTAAGAAGACATCACTACTCTGGGGTTGCTATCTCTCAAAGCGATTTGGAAAGGTAAGAGGTAGATTTCTCGCAGTGCTCTGTCAGACATGCGCACGTCGAGAGACATCTTTTCGGTCTCTTGATCATTAGCCACAAAGTGCTTCAGAGCTGCCAGAGTCCCTCGGGATTGAACCCCCCTGATGATAGCAGCTGCAAGCATTCCACTCAAGTGCGGGTCCTCAGAGAAGGACTCGAACCCACGACCATTCAGCGGGGAGCGAATGATATTGACCGTTGGGCCGAGCCAGACATGGGCACCTTTGGCGTCGCATTCTTTGGAAAGCAGCTGGCCAGCTTGCTCGATCAACTCAGGGTTCCATGTTGCTCCTAGGCCGCTCCCACAAGGGATGCAAAGCGCGGGCACTGGGTTGAAGAATCGTGAGCCTCTGACGCCATTGGGTCCATCGGTGCATTTGATGGCTGGGACGTTGTGCTGGGGAAGAGGGGTGGAGTGCCAAAAGTCGGAGCCTTTACCCATAAGCTGTCAGTACTAGGGACTCAGCTTGATGGGTTTCTTTTCTTGGGGGTTTCTCACCGGCAAGCAGCGAGACCTTCTCTGCGAGTGTGGCATTTTCGATGATCTGATCAACGTTGACAAGCTTTCTTGGAGGCGGTTGCATGTTGGATGAAATCAACTCGTTATCGTGAGACACCATGTTCAACACCAACAACCAGTATAATAAACGATCTCAAAAAAGATGAATAGAGAAACTATTGAAATCGAAATATAGAGTGAGCTCCTCAAACGAGAGCTGAGAGGTATACGGAGAGCTACCCGGATACCCGGGCTGCCGTTTCGGATGTCGGGAGCCGGAGCAGCCCGGAAGTCGCCGTATTTGGTGCGATGCACGATGCGAATGTGGAGTGAGCTAAAATAAGCTAGGTACATTGCGGAGTGGAAATAGCGCTGAGGGGCATGTAGGTTAGCCTTCCAATTGCATGTGATTAATCACTGTGCCACTGTAATTGTGTGAGGACTCGTCTTTCTCATGAATACGGTACGTAGTATTCCGCAAGTCGGGCATGAAGACATGAGCTACGACTTGAATAGCCTTGTGGCTTCTTGTGATACTTCAATTCATGAATAGCTGTTGCCGTCAGATTGTCGGTCGCGGCGATCCCTTCCATGATTGAACTGATGGCAGAATCATGATATCCGACTGGCAGAGAACGACGGAATGTTATGAACGTGGCGAGTATGATGGGACATGGGAGGAGGTGTGGAAGTCAAGTGACTATTATTCGTAAGTTACCGTGGTTGATTCATGTACTCTATCTGAAAACGTCCATATAGGTGATCCAATATGTTGAGCCATAAAATCAGCCAAAATGAGCAAGGGTTTGACGATGTCCACCGTTTGCGCTGACAGCAGCTCCGTTGACCCAACGTCCCTCTTCACTCGCAAGAAATCCCACGATATAGGCGATATCATCAGTGTTCCCAAGACGTGGACCAACAGTCATGTACTCGATCTGCTTGTCGATGAACTCCGCATGCAGTTCCCTCGCCTTAGCGAGCGCATCGGTCTCCGTGGGCCCAACCGCCACGCTGTTGAAAGTCATTCCCTTCTCTGCGGCAAAGGTGTCTGCAAAAGACCTCGTGAAGCTATCGAGCGCGGCTTTCGTGGCTCCGTACGTCATGATCGGGCTCGGATTGCCCACTCTACCGGCAATACTGGAGATGTTAATGACGCGACCACCATACTTGGGTGCGTGCTCCATGAAAGCCGTTGTCAGGCTGACCGGGGTGTAGACGTTTGCGATCATGATGTCGTTGAAGTCCTTTGCCTGCAGCGTCTTGACGTCCGAGGTGTTGGTAATATCAGCAAGAATCGCATTGTTGACCAGAATATCAATAGTCGCAACTTTCAGTCCGTTCAAGGCATCCTTGATGATCTTTGGGGCGATTGTGGGATCGGTTGAATCCGCTTTGATTGCAACAGCGTTTCTGACACCCAATTCGCGACATTGTGCGAGAGTATTATCGGCAGCGGCCTTGTTTGCCACGTACGTGATGGCGAGGTTTTCCACGCCCTTGCGGGCAAAGTGTACGGCAATTCCACTGCCGATTCCTCGGGAGCCTCCGGTGACGATGGCAGTTTTGCCCTTCAAGGACCACGGCTCAGCTGGGGAAGAAGTGCTAGACATTTTAGACTTGTTGACGATGTGTTCTGATGGGATGAGTTCGATCGTTGGTGGATAGCTTATATGGGACGTGAATGATGTTGGGAGAGATCGTTGGGTTTACTACCTCCAGACTGTAGAGTCCGACAGTCTTCATAAATAGTACGTTCGAAGAATGTTCGCGAGTACGAGCGGTTTTAAATTTCAGACGGTGATATCACCGAAGCATATGTAGGTTTGTCATCTTCGTTCGAGTATGGCGGACCGCAAAGTATGGATCCGGGGTATCTCAAACGTCCGAGCTGTAGACCGACCGCCAAGTCCGCAAGCGCAACGTTGATCGCCAGGGTATTTCTCATTCACTGATATGACAATAAGCGTTATTCCGATTCAAGAGTATAGATGCAATGACATGAATGAATCATTCATACGGAGCCAGCAAACATGCCGTCTATGTACGGTGTAACGGCGCTGTACTTCGTACTTGGTGGGAAAGGATGCTTTCGTCCGTTCTACTATTTCCCAAAAATTGGACGAGTTTTGCGCAACACTGATCTACACACATTCAGATCTCCCCACTTTCAATTCTTGCTATGCAGTAAGTCAACATACCCACTTCCTGGCACCCCCCTGTTTCTGGCA